CCCGGGCCGCGACCTCGGACTGCCCCCGGCTCCTCCTTCCGGCCTCCCGCAGCCCATTTCGGCCCCGGTTCCTCTAACTTGGCCCCCTTCGGGTCCGGGAGCTCTGTCTCTGTTCGCAGCCGGGTATTGGCTTCGCATTGCCGGGAGCCTGCACGGGTCTAAGAAAGAAGCGCGGGCGGGCGTGTGCGGTTGGGGGCGGGGGAGCGGGAGCATCTGCCGGTGGAGGGGCTGGCGGAGCGGCGGCCGGGGCCCTCCTGTTGCTCAGGCTGCGGCGTGTTGGCGGCTGGACTCTGATCCTTGGTTGGGGAGGAGTTGGAGACGGTATTCGTCTCCCTCCTCCAGGATTCACACACTTGGGAAATGGGGTTAATAAACGGAGAGAGGGTGGCTTCTTGTTTCGCGTCGTGAACATAATCCTATAAGAAGGCTCTGTGGCACCAACGTGACACCTAAAAAGTTGAATGGGTGAGAGGAGTATTCGCTCCGCCTTAGTCCGCTAGAAAGCCCACGTTGGCCTCGGCCTCCGGTTGCCTACGCTCGCACGACGAATCCCGAGGTAGTTAATCGTAAGCTCCCTTCTTACGGGAACATTTACATGTGAAAACCTCCCCAAACTGAGAACAAAGCTGTTTGCGGTCTTATAGCTCCCTAGTCTTATCTGTGATCATTCCGAGTGCTTCTTTTGTATTGTAGAGTTGATACAACTCATTTATTAGAATTGATTTGGGACGAGGGGGACTTGAATAGAAACTACAGTCATGGGTTGAGTTGCATTATCTTCCTTTTTCAAGTACTAAGAGTAAACCAACGTTGTAAAAATCCGATGTAATAGTTCAAGATGTGTTGATGCAGTGTTTAAAACTTGCTGCATCCCACTACAAGATTTTGTAGTTTCACTTGGAACAAAATTAGGTGCGATAACTTTCTTTCCTACTTGGAGTACTGTGATAATTGGTTTCTCCAGTTACGGTGCCGAGACTATTTATTTCCATACTGATTACCTTAAAAATTGTTTCCTTTTTGGCCGATAGGTGCACACAACACCGTTAACTGTAATGGTTGCAACTGATGTTGGACAGTGTCTTGTTAAAAGTTTTCAAAATATTCATGTGTTCCAAATTTTAATCGCTAGATAATTTGCGATAATGTGCCAGATATTTGAGTTGAAAATTGACTTAGTTTCCTAAAGGTAAAATTCACTGCAGCATTGGCTTCATGAGGGCAAGAAATTTCTGTTCTTTCCTCCCTGCTTCCACCATGGTGGGTGCCTGGCAAGTACTTGTTGAATGAATGAGAACTTACACATGGCACAGTTGTTAAAAGATTTTGTATATTTAAAAGATATCAAATACATTTTTTTCTCCCAAGATAAAAAAATATTGAATTTTATTATAGAATGAGGAGGAGGATTTTTAGTGTATTCTAAGATGGACATACTTAATTCCAATTCAGGCATTGCAGTAGTTAAATCATGAATGTTATTAAGCAAAATACCTTAAATTTCTCCTGAAAAAGTGCTGTCAGTTGTTTTTACTTTCCAAAACCAAAATTAAGAGTGCTATTGACTTTGAAAAAGGAAAGTGGTATTTTGACCTTCCAGAATGTGCAAAATAAACTTTTTAAAATCATTGCTCATTTTCCTCCTTAACAATTATCTCTATTCTTAGTCTTGATCATCAGCACATTACATTTATGTTACCTGTACCTTGCTTATACTGACACTCTTCTACTAAATCTTAACTCTTCTGAAGCTGAGATTAAAACCTGTCTTACTGTGCCTGCTTGATATATAATGCTTCTTTTTTTCCTCATGTGAAATGTTATTGATTAGTTCCCTTTAATCTCAAATTAACAAAACTGTGATTGTCCACAGAAGTTGCGCATCTGAATCCTGAATATCGTGGGGTTACCTAGGGTCTCTGGCAACTACAAGACTAATAGACTCTGTTATACTCTATATAATAGAGGGTGTAAGTAATTAGGCAAATAGCTTGCGTTTATGATAGAAAGCTTCCATTGGGACCCTTACACTGTGCTGTGCGATGGCCATTGTGCAAGGGGGAATGTAGTTAGTGACGACTTGGGAAAAGAAGACTATTACTAGTTTTAGGATTTCAGAAGTGTGGGAAACAATGATTAAAGGGCAATAGTGGTGAGAAATATCTAGAAATTACTTTGTTGGTTTTGTTTGTTTGTTTTTTTGAAGGGAGATTTTTCCTATAGGGTGCATGCAGGCAGAGGCAAGAAATCATGGCCATGTTGCAATTCCTTTTCATCTAGTCACCTCTCAGGATTTGGGGCACACACCACACTCACACCCAGAGGTGAGTTTTAAGCCACCAGGTCTGGGACTCCAAGGGAATCGACTACCTGGAAGTCCAGTTATGTAACCATTATGCCATCTGCTAGTCTCCTACCTGACGTGTTTTAAATTTTTAGGCAGTGGGTAAACATTGAAGGTTTTAAGTAGGGAGATGATACAGTCACAAATCTGCTTGACTCATGTATCCTAGGAAGCCAAGACTTGGGAAGATGAGTGAGTTGGGAACTAAGATAGGAGAGAGAGAGGTAAAATCTGAAGTTGACAAGTTCGTTGGAATGGAGAAGAGTTGGAAGGGTATGAGTCAAATGGTTCTTGGCATCTGATGTATTCATAAACATCTTTTGTCCCTACGTTCGAAGTACTGAGAGAGTGAGATAACATTAACACAAGGCAAGCATCAAAGGTATATTGAGTGGAAAAGACAGTGTGTTTGATTTTTGAACAAGTTGAGTTCCAGTTCTGTGCGAGAGTCATGTGGGGTTTTGTGGCAGACATTTGGGCATGTGGGACCTTGGAAGCAATGAAGAGATAGAGGAAGATATCCAGGAGTCATTCTCAGGTGTATCCTAGAGAAAATTGTCAGGGGGGAAAAGGAATTAATACTTTAACATAACATCTATGCTATGTCAGGCACTTTATATGTATATATATGCACATACACACACATATGCACACACATACACATACATACATATCTAATTTAATAGCTGTGTATTACCACAGCTTGCATAGACATCCAATATAGATGATGAAACTGATTTTCAAAGAAATTAATAATTCCAGGGCCTGCAGGTGGTGTGGTGGTTAAGGGTGCTGGACTCCCACTGGTTGAGTGCTGGACCTGGTGACTTGCTTTCTCCCTTTCTCTCTCATTCTCTTTCTCTCTCACTCTGTCCCTCTCTGGTCAAATAAAAATAAAGTTGAATAAAATAATTCTTAAAAAAAAGAAATTAATAATTCACCCAAGAACATACTGCTAGGTATGACAGAGCTAGGTTTTGAATATAGATCTCTGATTTAATTGCTGCTGCAGATAATGTTTTATATACTACCAAGGGAGTGATCACAGGTTAAAAACTTAAGAATTATTATTTTTAGAGGGTTGGGTTTTTTTTTTTTTTTTTTTTTTTTGCCTATAGGATGTGTGCACTCACCAGAGAGAGTATGAGAAATCACCTCCAAGGGAGGATGACCATGCCACAGTCCCTTCTCTGTTTTCCTCTCGAGATCTGGGGCACACACACGAGTGTGCTCTCATGCTTAGCATGAGTTTCAAGCTGCTAGGTCTGGGACTCAAACCACAGTCAACTATGTGGGAGTCCAAAGATGTAACCATTACTCCATCTCCTGGTCCCAAGAATTTATTTATTTAATTTTATGGGTGAATAGATAAAGTCTCTCTCTGATAAAGAAGGAAGAGAAGAAAGGCAATGTTATTAAAGGTGGCTATTTAACAGAATATTTGGGAAATTTTTATGGCAAGACACTATTAAAAGTATTATGAATGATGAAAAGATGAGTGGAAAAAAAGTCAGTGATTATAGCTGATACTCAGTTATACTGTGATTCCACATTCTTTCATGTGAAGTCTGATGTTAAAGTTTGTGGGATGAATAAAACTTACAGATTTGATTTCTTTAACCCATTTATTGTATTTTTAGTCTTTAGATCAATCTTTCTTAAATACAAAAGAATATATCTTTCCCCTCTCACTTTTTTTTTCAGCATCCACAGTTTTAAGATATTTAAATATAGAAATAGTGCAAGGATAGTAAAATAAAAAGAATTGTTAGCTATTGTGGCTTTAATTTGAAAAATAGAATATTAAGAAGTTAAAGTCCTCATGTTGTTTCATTTCCACTCCCTGCACCCCCACAATCAAATAATGAATTTGGAATCAAGTCTCTGTAGTGCATAAGCAATATATAATATCATGTTATTTGTATTGAGTGGCATATTGTACATATTTCACAGTTTGATTTTTTTATTCAAACATTAATACCATATATTAAGATTTAATTCATTTTTGCTGACAAACTGCAATGAACTTTCTTTCTAATAGGTCTCCTTGTATACATGTATAAAAGTTTCTCTAGGACTTTCCGGTTTTTAACACCTTTAAATTCTTGAAAGTAAAGGACCACAAAAGCGCTTTTGTATCTACAGGTTGTATCTGATATTTACCATATTAGAAATTTAAAATGAGAGATATAAGTATTTTATTTTATTTATTTATTAAAGATACTAGAAAACTTATCCTAACTTAATATAAATAACATTTCTAAAAATTTATTTAACTTTATTTCTTTTTAATTTGACCAGAGAGAGAGAAAGCAAGAAAGCAAGTCCCCAGGTCTGGGACTCTAACCTTGGTTGGTCATATGGAAGTCCAGGACCCTTAACCACCACGCCACCTGCTGGCCCCCATGAATAGCATTTTTAATGAAGATGTTTGCAAGATTTAAAAAAATAAAAAGCGAGAAGAGTGACAATTTACATTCTGCAAAACTCATTTAAACTTTGATTTAATAAAATGTGGACCCTCGGACCTACTTTTTCATTCTCTTGCAATAATACACATCAGGTAGCCTGTGAAAAACATTGTTGTATACTTGTGACAAAATGAACGAAAAAGGGAAGTAATATCTTTGTGTTCATATGAAAATGATCCCACTTAACAAGACAGAGACTCCACCCCAGCAGTACATGGAGACTTTTTGAGAAGTGCAGCACTGATGTGGTATGCATATAATGGTACTTTGCATTGCCAGAGGAAAATATGATTAATGTTCATTTTTATCGTTAAGATTGGATATAAATTGGGCTTTACAATTAACTACTTATAAATTGGTACATTTATTTGGGCTTGGATCCTGCAGAAGAGTTCAATTCCTCATCTTAGTGGGGAACTTACTGCCTTTCCTATTCTCGTTGTAAATTGTTCTTTGTGGCTATTGTGTATTTTACAAGGTTGTCAGGAGTGTGATTGTCTTCTAGAATTTACATCATCTGATGAGGATGCTTGTTAAATATTTTTTAATATTAATATTTTATTTGTTATTGTTCCTCCTCTGAGAGGTCTTAAATGGACAAAGATTTTGAACGAAGTTCAGGACAAAATCACAGTTGAAGTAAAATTTAGAGATTTTTCTTGCCACACTTGGCTATTTCATGCCATTATTCTAGGAATTTTTTGACATTAAGAATTAGTTACAGGAACCAGCAGATGGCCTAATTGTTACATTGCTGGACTACCATGTAGTCGACTGTGGTTCAAATCCTGGACCCAGTGACTTGAATTTCACTTACAGCTCATGTGCGTGTATGCCCAAAATGCCAAGAGGAGAATGGGATTGTAGTGTGGCCATTCCCCCCTGGGGGATGATTTCTTGCATTCTGTCTCTCTGGCAAGTGCATGCACCCTATAGCAAAAATCTCTCCCTCAGAAATAAAAATAGGCACAGTTTTTTTCTCTTTCTGCTGGTTCTTGACTCAGGAAATTCTTAATCTTCAACAGTAGAGGTCTGGCTTGATAGTAGAATAAAGCTCAGGGCTTTCTATAACAGCATTATCACTCATGTACTTATTGAAAATATTCTCCTCTCAACAGGATTTTGATTAGTATATTGTTTCAGAAAAATTACATGCACACATGAAAAGGAGTTGATTCAGAAAAAATTAGAATAATGGAGAAAATTGGTTTATAAATCTTGAGAAACCAAATTCAGGATAAAACTTTACCTAATAATAAATAGTTGACAAAATGGTGAAGATTTTTGTTGTTGTTTTACCAGATACTAATTGTAGGGTCTCTGTCATGAAGCACAAATAAATATAATTTACTTTGGAATCCCAGAACCTACCTGTACATATCTGCACGCATCAAAATCTCATTTTAAATGTACCTTGATTACATGGTAGGAAAATAATTGTTACATAAGTTAATAAACCTTCATTACATTCATTGAGACAATTTACCAGATCCTTTTTTTAGCAAACTTCAGAGCAACAGTATCTGACTTTAATAGTAAACTAAAAACAAACTACACCATGTTGCCAGTTATATAGAATGACCAGCTTACTTACCTAATAGTTTTAAGTTTTTGGTAACATTGGTTGGTTGATATCATGTTCCTGTTGAACCACAGGAAAAGTAGAGCTGGGTAATAGTTAAATTTGCATCCAGATAGACCTTACTAGGATCTATTGAAACCTTAGCATGGGTGAGACTTATCTACATTTCTGTGTTACTATTAAGTGTA